TATATATATATATATCTATACAATAAAATGCATTCCATTTGACGCTCTCAAGATTCTTAAGTTAACACATGTACAATTCATGCTATTTATGTTCAAGATTTGCAATTTATTATTATATAAGATTTGAAAATAGATTGTGATTATAGATTATAGATTATATAACGAAGCGAAATTTTTACGAAAGTAAAAGGCAGGAATAAATCGCGCATAGTTCAACATTAGAACTTTAGAATTATTTCATCTTTGTTGTTTCAAGACGATTAAACAAATGATGCCTATGAATGTTGTGGGCGTCAAATGGAATGTATCTATAGTGCGTTACGCGTTTAGTTTCGGAAAATATCGCATTTTGCGGGTGAAAGAATCGCCATTTAATGTCAGAGGTAAATTCCGAAAGGCGTATCCGTTCCTCTCAATGAATCCCGTCGAACGCAAATTGTTGGCTTGGCATTTCGGGTGCGTGCACACGACGTGTGTACACATCATGGAAGCTCGTACGTAGTTACGCGCGCGGTTGAAGTCGACAGAATTACAGACAATAGATATACATCCAAAAAATGCTATGTTAGACTACGCTACACTGATATCGTTTAGTGACATCACTCGGACTGGACCTCATTGTATACCTGTGCAATCGTTCATTCTATCATATTCATACATTTTTTTTTTCCTTATCCTGAGCTCAAGCACACTTAATTAGGTACAAACCATGATAACCGGAGTCTGATTATGCGGAATAGGAAAGATATTCTCGTGCTTGAGTGAGATATTAAAAACTGCGTTAGATAGACAATTATAAGATACGATAGCTGTCGCTCGTGGAAGGTGTGTGGCCTCTTCAAGCTACTGTTCCTTCACTGCAGTTATTGTAAAGACATCATTGAGAAATCGAGTGAATTTATGTCTCACGCCGAAATATATAATTTAGTCAGCTTTATTATTATATATAATAATATAATTATATATAATTGTATAGATAATAATAATTGGTTTCGGCAAGAAAGTCCATTTTCACTTCTGAATGTGAATAGAACCGCAGTGAAGAAACAAGAGGCTTAATCATCTTAAACAAAATCAGCGAATCGGTTCCTCAGAACATAACAAGTAAGATCAAACATGATTTTAAAAATTAACTAATAATATCAAAATATGAAGGTAATTGAACTTTATCAACGTTTCAGATAAAATTAAAATTATCAGAATGCTTGTCATATAACATACTTACAAGAAAATCTTTTACAAGAACAGAGAAACTAAAGATTCTGCCGTGTGAATTAAGAGCAATTAAATTTACAGATAATCTGAGTAACCGACATAGCTTCTCTTCATCTCTTAAAACTATAGAGACTATATCATCATTTCTTGTTATATTATACATAAATATATACAAACAGATTTTTTTCTTATGTCAACAATAATTCTCATAATAGTTCATACTAATATCATACAAATATGTGTATTTGTGTGTATGTATACGTTGTATATATGTATAAGCTTCATATATACCAATTTAAAGTATAATAATTTGTAATATTAGAATACTCTTCAACATGTCGAAAGTAACACATTTGCGCCTTAAATACAGAATCACATACTAATCCATTGCACCCCATGCTTATTACAAGAAACACTATTGTGTATAAATATTATAATCAGATACTCGAGTAATGATTTTTTTTTCTTTCTTTTTTGCTTTACTCGTTATACATGCCAGTTTCGAGAGGAAGAATTTAAAATCTAAAGAAAGACTATACAAATAATTATGTCATATTATGGCTGTTTGCAACAGACAATTATAGAATTGATTGACAATTATAGAATTGTAACAGCAGAAACATGCTCGAGACCATACATCTCATTGTTTAATATGTATTTCATTACATGTACATTAGTATTCATGTGATATTATTATAAATCTATATTTTTTATGCTTGGATAATTTTTATAAAGTCCTCAGAGACGTTCGAGAAACATTTCGTAACGGCAACGTAAAATTAAACTCATATTCACGCGCAGCTCCTTAATAATGCACGATTTGTTTAAATTTTTTGCAACATTAATTCAAGAAACACAATTTTTTTTCAAACATAAAACATTATCTACCAAAATAGGTATTTAGGACAAACGAAACCTCGCATCGAGATATCTTTGTGTGTGATGCATTTCGTATATAATACATTGTCATAACCGCGACTTCTCTAAATAATATGGCAAATACCACCCGAAATATTCTTTAGCACGCTATATCATTTTGGCACTATGTATCCTCTATCCTTTGTCTTTTGTGATCTTCTTTCACTGCGGATTCCTCTATAATTCTTTTTTGAGTATTCTCTTTTTCCCTGCTACACTTACCCGCACTCCTATCTCCGTGAATATTTGTACTAGGATCCATCTCAATATTATGTTCAACAAAACAATGTACCTGTAACTCGTTTACAGTACGCATAGATACGGGGCAAACTTGGCACTTGTACGATTGTAAACTGTCCTCCGCCCTCGCGTCTTCTGTTGAGACGACCGTCGGGATCGGTCGCTGCTCTTTAACGGCGTAATCGCGTCTCTGCTGATTAAACTGAGGACTGCGAAGACGCACGTCGTTAATGGCTTTTGGTTTCTCAGGGACGATTGACACGTGATATGGTCGGGAGATGCTCGCATCCGTCGTCGTTTTCACGTATTGCGCGCGGAGCGCATGCTGCGATATAGGCTCACCCTCGTCCGACGAAGTTTCGCTACCACTCACGACTGGTCCGGGCAGAGCTTCTGACTCCCACTGCGCGATCTTTGCCGGATCTTTCTCGCATAATCTTTGAGCCAACATCTATCGAGCGAAAAGTTCGTTTTATCGTAACGTTTCCTTTATCCATATTTAGAAACTGCGCGCAGTTACAATTTGTTTAATACGAACCTGCAGACTATTAAGACTATTATCACAGTCCGAAGTATCGATGTCATTCAAGTTGACACCTGATCTTTCCATCTCCGCATACGTTCCAAACGGCAGTTTGCCCAAGCACTCTAACTTCATAATGTGCATCTTGCTGCGAAGATGCTTCGCCAAGTGTCCGTGTATTCTAAACGCTACCTTACAATCTGTGCACTTGAAAGGCCTGGGATTGGTAGTAGTCGCAGCACCAAATGTAGAAGTCATACTGACCTGAGTAGCACAAAATTTACTCGTATATTTGCGCTAAAAAACAAGACTTGTTCAACGAAAATAAAACTGATTCGCCGTTTACCTTATTGTGATGGGAAACGGATCTTTCATGTTTCGTTAAGTGACCTTTAGTCCGGAAGGAAACTGCGCAATTTTCGCATCTGAATGGCCGCTCAAAGTAATGAATGTTGAGATGCAACCGTAACTGACTAGGTTTACTGAACATCTTGTTACAAATTCCACATACACTTCTACCATCTTCTGTGACACTGTAATCATATCATAACATTTTAGTTCTTATGATCAAAATTATTTTGTTAATTCTGATAAATGAAATTTAGAGCGATGCAAAATAGATATTTCATGTGTAACATGACAATCATTGTATTATTTTTGTTAAATAGCATCATCAATATCTTGAAATTTAAAATGAAATTTAAAATGAAATTTAAAATTAATTGAAATAGAGAATTTAAGTTGAATTTTGAGTGCTATCTATCTATGAGTGATATCTAAAAAAATAATGTATATAATAATGTATTAATAATGTATTTTGAAATAATAGACATATTGTATTAACTTGAATTCTATTTGTTAAAATTAAAATAAGTCATAATTATCATTTTATTAAAACAAATATTATTTTTAATATACAGCAATATTGTTTTATACAGCAAATCAGGCATTGAAGAACAGAAATTGAGTTAAAAAATTAAACTAATAATATAATATAGTATTAATAATTTTTTGTAAATCAAGATCATTTAAGCCGTCTAATTCATTAATATTGCATTAATATTAACGTGGATTATATAAATCATTATCATAATGTTATGTATCTAAAAAAAGAGCCAATTAAACGTTTTTAATTTCTATTCTATTAACTTTACTGATTTTCAATTTATTTCTAATACAGCATAGTGAATATTATTATATTATGTATCATGCGTTAGTATATAAATTGCATATCAAGAAAATAATTAGATAATAAGAATATCTTATTTACCTGACATAGTTAGGTGCAGGTCCACTTGACGGTTGTAAAAATTCCGCTTGCGGTTTCGCATTTCCTGTGTTTGGTGAAGGCGACCGAAAGTCTGGTCCACCGACGACTACTTTTCCGGTTACCGCGTGTTTCATGTTATCTAATGTATTCTGTTTAACCATGTCCGCGGTGTGTTTCGCATCGTAATAGAGGATTCGTACTTTCTGGGGCGACGTGCTCCTTGCGTCTATATTTTGCGACTTGGGAGGCTCATGCATAGGCTGTAATATATCGTAATTGGCACGTGGATCTTGCGCGTGTGCTCTGTATTCCGCGTAAACTCTCATGTCACGACTCGGCGGCCTATTATCCGAATTTGTTTGTCGGATCTCCATATTTGCCGACGGTATAACTTGAGCAGCTTGCTCCTGAATAATTTGTATATCGTGGAACGATGTATGCGACTTGTATTCGCAACTAGGTGGCCTCATCTCTTGACCGCGTATCTTGTATTCCTGTTGACTTGGTAGCCTCACCTCTTGACTTTGCGTTCTGTATTCTTGACTAGGCGTTCTGATCTCTCTACTAGGTGGTCTTAATTCAAGATTTCGCGGACTATGACTCTGCATTCGAACATCGTTAGCCGAAGTTCTTATTTCGTGATTCACAGACTTCATCTCCTGACTGATACAACGGCTAGATCTTTCTATTTCATTCATCATTTTTATCGTGTTGAATACAGAACTTCTGTCAATGTCGTTAGGGGTATGTTGCAACTGTGGCCGATTATTGACGTCCATATTCAAAGATTTTGGTGAGTGACAATCGATATTGGATGTGCTGCGAACAGGTACAATAGAACAATTCGGTCTTTCCATTGAATTATTATTTTTTGGCATGGATAGACCATACTCGATATTCGATCTTGCGCTGGCAGAGCCATTAGTTAAACCGAGCTCGAAATTTTCACGATCAGAAATTATACGACTTTGTTCTTTATTCTTATGAATAGCCTCATAATCAAACGTAATCAAACGTCTCTCTGTCGCCATATTGTTCTGATAAATCTTTTCTCTGATTTCCATCTTGATGTCATCACTAGTATGCTTCGTCATGTGTTTAATCCTGGATTCCATAACAGTATGCTGCATCTTGCTAGGATCGGTATACGTCACTGTCGGAATACTGTTAGACTCTACGTGCCTGTTAAGATCTTGATGACGCGAGTAAACATCTCTTTCTTGTATTTGCTTATTGTCCACTTTGGTATTTCCCACGCGATATTGCTGCTTAATTTTGCTGTCCATCACATGTCTCTCCGTGAGGTAGGCCTGCAACATGTGGCCCTCTGCATCCGGTTTCCATTCTCTACCCTGAATAGGCAACCGTTCCATCGTCTGGACTATCGTCTGCAAGAGGACCGGCTCCGAGACGGGTGTCAGAATGTCCGCGGGTCTAGCCCTTTGCGGGACCGGCGAGGGTAACACCTGAGTGGTCTGCTTCGTCGTGAGATCCATGGGTTGCGACAGCTGATGACGTGACTCCGTGGTATCGGTAATTTCTTCGATTTCGAAGTCAGAGTCATCTTTTTTCGATGACTGAATGACGCTGATCCTCGTCTCTTCCGTTGCACTTCGGTTCGATGGGAAGTAATAGCGATGCGATAATTCATTTTGGATCAGAGCTGTTCCTTGCGTGGTGACGTTTTGATTACTTATAACCGATGTAGTTGCGGCAGTGGATGTCACGCTCACCGTGGAAGTCGTCGGTAGAGTTAGCGCGTATGGATACGTCGTAGGTCTTCCCGATGGCAATAAGCCTGGCAATCTGTTTATTGTATTACGTTGCGAAAGACTCAGTAAACTTTGTGCCGCCTCTTGTTCCTCGCTCCCAGATTCTTCGCTTTCCTCACCGTCGGTCTCTTCCTCCTCCTCCGAGGATTCTTCCGTGTTGCTGCCACCGGCAGCTAATCGCGCAATGGCCTCCTTATCAATATTCTCATCACAGACAGTTGTGGGAACAGGTACCACGCCTAGTTCTATGCATTTCTTGTAATGAGCCTTGGACTTCATGTGCTTTGTAAGATTACCCTTTGTTTTGAAACTGTTGCGAGAAACGATTATGCCTTCAGTGGTGAACCAAGATGATATAAATTATATACTTCTTACTGCATTTGATATGGAAGAATATCGACTTACCTAAAAGTACAATGTTTACAGGTATATGGCCTAACATCTGTATGTGTTCTGATATGTTTCTTCAGCATAGATGGTTTTTTACAACGAATACCACACTCTTCGCAGACATAACGCCCTCGACCTTATGTAAGAAGTCAAATTAATACAAATTAAAATAATGAATATTGAAATAATATTGAAACATAATTATCTATCACACATTATATATAAATATTGTAAAACGAAATCGTTTGAAGACGTTTCGGACGAGATGCATCATAAAATTCTCAACTGTATGTATTTCTTTCAATTAATTCCTAATTATTCTATCTAAATATCTATTTCTTAATAGTCGATTATTTTCTTTTTATCAATCGTTTAAATCAGCATTCTCAGTTGTAAACATACAAGATAAAAGGAAAGCGTAAAGATGCGAATTGTTACAAGAAACATATTTTAACAGAATAGTTAAAAATCAAGAAATTGATTGATTGAAAATTTGGTAGCGTATTTTAGTATTCAAAGCAATATATCTTATCTGTTTTAAATACAATATTGAAACATTCCTTACCTCTTCCGCGCACATAAGTATAATCCTCGTTGCTCTCGTAGCCTCCGTCAAATATCTTTACCCTCTTCGTCTTTTCCTGCATGTCACTCTCCAATCCGCTATCCGGACTAGTGGGAGTAGTTGGTCTTTGTGAGGAATGCGTCAGGATGTCCTCTTGCTTCTTCCACGCGGTCGTGTAATTCAGAGGTCTATGCCGAGAATCGTAGTGCGCCATGTCCACGTCCGGCGGAGCCTCCTTACATATCTTCCAGTTGGAGTACATCGACAGACCATGCTGCTGTGTGACATACATCGGCTGCGGTCGATTCAGGGTACAATAAAATACCCTAGTGGAACACTTGAGTCCCAGATATGTGTAGGCATGTCCATTTAAATATAGTTGTCCATACGACTTTTTAGGTCGTGGAGTTTCCGGACTGATGAGAGGAAGCGTGTTCGCCGTAGGCGTGATCCCGTGATGCTTCTTCGGCGTAAACGTGCCGGGCTTCAGCGGCAAAGACGTAGGTCTCAAAAATTTGTTAGAGTTAGTCGCGGTCGCTTCTTTAGCGGTCTCGCCGCTATTCTTCGGCGACTTGGCCTCGGGTTGCTTGTCCTTAACAATTAATTCTACGGAAGTTTTCGTTGGCACTTCTGTCTTGGAAGAATCTAAGTTCACAAGTATCACTGACGGCGCGCTATCGGCCTTCGTTTTGACACCGTTGAACGCACCGTATCCGTCCGCGACCTTAATCCATCCGCGTGCATCCGAAGGGACATTGCTCTTTAATCGTCCGTTCTCATGAGGAGATAGGTCGTACTTGGTCGTACTTGCGGTTTGCGTATCTATCGGTGCAGCTCTGCCAGCATCTACCTCACTGACGCCCCAATTTGATTTCTTCCTGCTTTCCGAAGTGGTCTTGGGCGAGTATCTCATTTTGCTGTAAGAGCTCGAAGAAATCGCAGGATCTACACCGTTCGGATAATTAAAAGTATTATCCAGCTTCGGACTCTTGTCATACGTGAACTCTTTCCTCTCGCGCGGGCTCTCCATGCCCTTGTACTTTACGGCCGTATTATTTTTGATATGACGATCGAGCTCCGACAGTCTCGCGCGATACTTGTCCGTCGAGGTCTCAACCTTGACGCTAGGAACTTTGGGACTGGTCAAGCCGCTCTTTAAACTGTCGCCATTGGGTGTCTTGAAGCCGATTTTCATCGATTCCTTCGCCGGACTGGCCAAATCCAAAGGCTGATCCAGGATGGAAGGAACGTGTCCAGACATTGGGCTGGGCATGCCAGGCACCGTGCTGGGCTGTACCTTCACCGGACTAGCCAAATCCAACGGTTGAGGTATCATGTGCAAACCCGGTAGTCCCGGTATCACCTTGTAACCCGCTTCGCCGGCCGTTATACTCGGAGATATGTCTATAGTCGGCGTACCTGTTAAGGTATGCGGTCCGGGCATACCAGGTACATAAGGTATCACTTTCCCGCCGTGCAGGATACTCGTGATACCAGCCTGCGGCAGAGTCAACGGATTGTAGGCAGTGATGCTCGTCAGTGGATTAATGTGTGACTCTAAATAATCGTAGCAGGACAATGTGGGCGCTATATTCGGGGTTGATATGTTCGGTATGATGGGTGCCAACATTTTCGGCGTGTTGGGTAGAGATATGGAGGAATTAGACGTGCTGGCTGACGTACCCGGTGGTTTATGCATCATGGTACCGCCGGAATGAAGTCCCGATTTCACTACTATCGACGCCGTTTCCGAATTCATGCACTTGCTATTAACTACGTGTTCACTCGTGGGCGAGTTCGTCTGTCGCGGTTCGATTCTCATTGTTTTCGTCACCTCGCCCGTGTTATCGAGGATTCTCACTTCGCCGCCGAACATCTGCAGCGAATTCGGACGCGGGTATTTGCTAAGCTCTTCCAACGACCTCAAACTGGTTGGTACAGATTCCGTTCTTTGCTTCTTAGCAGGTGGAGCGTACGCATCGACCAGTCTGGTATTACCCAATAAAGGACCCGGCGAAGGCAACGGCTGCAAGGTGCTGTAATAATCGGAAGACTTCACGTCGAAATCGGAATCCCGCTTCTCTAATTCCGCATGATAATCGGCTCCTTTTCGAGGACTATCAATACCCTTACAATAGTATCTACGATGAGCCTCTAGTGTATCGATGCTAGTGTAGGGTATGTTGCAAGTGGGACAGACAAAATTCTCCACGGCCGTCTCCGGTATCGCTCCGTTTACCGAGCCGCGAGTTTTCAAAAGGAGATCCTTGATGATCGAACTCTCGGGATGTTCACCATCTTTCGCTTCCTGAACACAACTATCGCTGTAACAACGTTTTCTACTATCCGAAGACTCCTCCACGGAAGATAAATTCAACGGCTGCTGTTCGAATGACTGCTTTGTTTCCACCAGGCTTTGTTGACGATGCATCAATTTGTGCAAGCATGGATCCACCGCGTCGACGATCGCCTGATTGTCCGTGATGATCTTGTCGATGTGTTCCTGTAACCGTTCCGCGTTCGGCTTGACAGAATTGGAAGTGGAGGTGATTGTGGAGGAAGACGAGGAGGAGCTGTTGGAAGAATTGGGCGATAAGGAAGACGTTTCGGTGTCGCTGTTCACGCATTGCAGGGCTGTTCGGGCTTGAAATTTCGGTTTATAGATCTTGCCAGTCTTCACAGTCTTCAACGCGACGGTGGGTATCGTCGTCGTTGCCGTCGTGGGCGTTGAAGCCGGAGGCGGCGGTGGCGTACCAGTGCCATTACTGGCGCTATCCGACAGACTTATGTCAGAATCCTCGGACACCTGTAGAAGAACATTATAGATTGTCATATCAATTCGACATCGTAATAAATTAATTACACTACTTGACAAATTGATTTGTTATTGATTGAATGTAAGAAAATTGCAAATGTCTCATTAGACTAAATCTTACATTCATATTAATAGGTAATTGCATGAACATCCTTTTGTAATATCAGAGATCAAGATTTTATCAAGGTTCATTAAATTTCACGACTTTAATTGACAAATTACCTTTTCTCCTTTCTCCGTTTTATGTGCATGAGAGCGCGACCTGCAGTGTTTGTACAGATTCGACTTGGTCTTGAAGGAGATTCCACAGGGCACACACGGATAGGGCCGTTCGTTTGTGTGCGCCCTAATGTGTTTTTGAAGGACGCTCGGCTTGGTCCACGTCATCGGGCAGTAAGGACACGCGTAGCCAGCCTTCCGGGATTCGGTAGCGGGCTCAACTCCTCCCGCTGATTCCGAGGAAGGCTCGAGTTTATTGCCGGATTCCTTCGACGGCTCCTTGCCATCCTTGTCATCCTTGTCATCCTTGGCATCCTTCTGCTTGGGTATCTCATCAGAAACGACATTGTTCGTCGTACCCTCTTTCTTGGGAGGCTCGACGACTTTCGGCGCAACTTCGGTCGTCGCCATCTTCTTGAACTTCTTGTGCAGGTACTTTGGTTCGCCATCGTTGTTGTTGTTGTTGTTGTTGTTGTTATTGTTGGTCAGCTGTGGGTCTGTCATCGCCACAGTGTGGGTCTCTGCAAGCACAACGAGGCACGAGGCACGTTTAATCGCTGCCGACCGCCGGAGTCGGAAGAAAAGATGCGAAGTGGAAAAGAGAAGTAGAGATCATGCGAGGCAATGCGGGTGGTGGTGGACTCTCAGGTGACTCAGATGCGAGAACGGACGTCGTATACAACGTATCCCGTGTCAAGGGGGGAGAGGTGATTCACGAAGGATTCTCGATACTCCGCGCGAATCGTAGAGATTATTCCGCGAAGAGGACTCTCACGCGGCGTTAATTAATCTGATTTTAATAGCCGATTATCCCTACCACAACAGGATGCTGCGACATGCTTATTAACATTGATACGTTGAAACAACGTATAAAAGAAAATTCCCGAAGTAACAGGCGTCAAGATGTTTTTTATTACGTGCGAAATGACGTTACGTAACGGCGCTAATGACGCATCGAATTTATGATGACGATGAGTTCGTTTAAGTAACACGCGCGTGGCGACGATCGTACATAAGAAAAGTATCCGAGGTCGCACCAGCAAATCGTATCATCAGAGTGACGTCGATTAGAAAATTTTAGTCCATCGTGTCAATTGCCTTATGACGTTTCCATAAATGCTAATACATTCTTGTGGAATAAGAAAAAATTGATTTCCATTTACACGTCACATTATGTTTCATCATATCTGTAATTACGCATAAAATTAAATCAATATGTTAGAAATAATTTTTTGTTGAAAAAGGAATTGCGGTCGACATATTCAATATTATGTTAGAATTATTGAATTACAAAGTGCCGTCTCGATTTGTGTTTCGATTACTCATAATATATCTGTACAATTTAAACAGAATTTATAATTTATATTAATAATAAAGAGAAAAAGATTAAAAATGACGTAAATGCTAAATAGGTGATTTCGATTAAAGTATACATGTTTACTGCATTTTTAATCTCCTCATCTTAAATTTCATAGAAATCATCAATTTTTAAAAAAACATATAATAACATAACATATTAAATATATTTATGTCAACGTGCGACGCATTCTATTTCTACATCCCCTAGAGTGACAATGTATTTATTTTCGTATTAATTAATTACGTCAATATAAGATCAGAATAAAAATTTGAACTCGGATTGCAAGTATATCAAAAATAAATCAATAAAAAAGAAACAAAAACAGGAATATATATAATTTATTATATATTTTGCATAAGGAAAGTAACCGGCCGATATTTCGCAGTACACTTTCGCGATCGGGAAAATACTTGGCCGTGAATAATCGCTAATAATAATCTGTCAATAGATATTTTTCTCCGCAGCGGAGAAATAGCCATGCCGTAGCTAAAACGAGTGATACATACAGGGAAAATACCAGCGGTCATATAAAAAATCCACAAATAATTCAATTAGGAAATTCGATTACGCATTTTGCGGTACGTGAATTTTGTTAGACTTTATTTTAATGATTAACCGTTAAATTACGCATTATTTTAAGATATCTTTTGTGGATTAAACTCGACATTTCTCTTTTAGTACTTGATATGTATATCTCAAGATCTATATCTTCAAGGTCATAATACTTATATGTAATACTTATATACCTAAATCATAATACTTATATATGATAATTTTGAGCCACTAACAAATTGTACTTTATAAATAGTACTTTTTTCAGATTTACCAAATTTCTACATATTTTTGATACATATAAATCAAAATTAATATATTTATAATTAATTAATAAATTAATTAAATGATATCAATATATTAATATTATTTAATAAAATATCGTAACATTTTAAACGGAAATGGATTCAAACGCAATTATTTGCGTATTCAATATTCAAGACGCGACAGGTCGTCCCTGTGGAATTATGCGGCAATGCGACGTTACGAAAGCGGAAATGGAGGACGAGTTCACAGTTCAGATTCGTTTACGTGAATAGGCGAGACTTCTCTACGCCTGCATTTTCATTTATAAGCGACCGAGATCTTCCGTGTTTGCCCACCGGCGCAATTGATCGGCGATCGGCAAATTATTTAGCGTGGAATTATTTAGAACTGTGGTCTCTCTCTCGACATACTTGCCTCTCCTCCTCGATGCGATAATTTCGTGATTAATCGATGTATTTAGATCGAGAACATCGTCGAAATGTCGCATACAGTTGACTTCTTCATTACAATTCGAATTTGACATAGTCATTAAGTCACTGATTTCGTCAGTGTGCAACATAATTATATAAAGATATTTTGAGATTAATTCATATCCATTCCATAAAATATATTCAAGTTAGTAATTTGATTATACAGAATTAGAGAGAGAGAGAGAGAGAGAGAGAGAGAGAAAGAGAGAGAAATTATTTAACGACATCCATTCGAGTTTCGAGCAGTTAAATATTATCGAAAATTATAGTATGGTTTTTCTTCTTCTGTAAATTTTCTCAATAGTAATTTTTTTATTATTACATGCGCGAGATACATTTTGACCTTTTAGAAACTTTCTATGATATATCATCATTATATAACGCGTATAAATTATTCAGAGCGGATATATATCTCTTCTCTCTCCTCCTCATGTTTTAAATTTTTGATTAAGTTCGCCGTCGAGTTATGAACATTTACAAACTTAAAATTCGCAATTCCCAGTCCGTAAAAACTTGATTGTTATCATCTCCGGAAACGCTTTAGCAATCAATGTTACAGTGTCCTTAAAAAAAAAAGAAAAAAAAAACAGTCTTATCGAAGTAAGTGAAATTTACATCGTTCGATGCTATTTAAATAAAAATATTTATACAATTATGCAAAAATAGATTTGTGACGTGAATGAACAATTTCACCAAGAGTAAAATACATTTTGAGTAGTTCTAATATTTGATAAAGATTTATCGCGTTTTAAAAACAATATGGTTTCCTGTGTTCACATCATTTTTCGCAAAAAAAAAAAAAAAAGTTTTAATTCCTTTTGTCCGATCATTAGTTTTTATATACGAATTAACATCAGTTCGAGAGTTCGCTTGAGATTTATGAATAATTTTCCGCTTCTCCGTCTATACCGTTGCCTCATCATGTCCTTCATTGAAGAATGCGCGTCGCCAACTGGGCGTCCACGTCGTTCCCGTATATTTTTATAACTAGCAGAAATCGCCGGCCTTTTCTTGGACGCCACTTTCGCGGCACCGTTCGTCGAAGTACCCAGTAATTTTGGACCGCGCTATTTATACGCGCAAATAAAGAAGACAGAGAGAGAGAGAGGGGGGAGGGGGGGCAGAGAAGGACAAAAAAGAAGCGTGAGGAGCTGGCAGAACGCGAGCCAATCTCGTTCGCCGACGGAGGCATTTCTCGCGAAGAATCATCGCCGCATCCAAACGACGAAACTTACATCGACAGTCCATTTGGCAGCGGCGGTTTCTTCGACTCATAGAAGGAGCGCCAGGAAACCACCGCGAAACTTTTGACTCTCGTAAAAGGCGCCTGATGCATCGCGCGATATAATTTATGCGACGTTTTCATCATGGCGCACAATAAGCGGAACTTTACTATTTGCAGGAAAATACTATTTGCAATTCGCGCGGATTCGCATTTTTATCGATTTCAATAGGCTCTAGATGAACATCGATCCGCGTCGTCTGTCATCAGGAATATCGAAGATGCTTCGCATTATTCAGTCTAAATTGCTCGTCCGATCGACAAGTACGAGGAACGGCTGAAAGAGAGAGAGAGAAAGA